CACGCCCGCGAAGCCCGTCGCCCCGAAGGCGCAAAACGCCGACGTGGCGGGAGACTCCCCGCGCGTCGGCTGTTGCGCGACCCCGAAGCCCGTGGAGACGGCAGGCGAAGAAGCCCGCTTAGTCCCGCCGCCGCCGCCGCCGCCGCCCGCGGGAGCGCCGAACCCGCCGAAGCCACCGAAGCCCGTCGTCGCCGGCGAAGGTTTCGGGGCGGCGAGACCGGCAGCCGTTGGGGCGGGGCCGAGGCGGCTCGCGATTCCGCCGGACCCGCCAGCCGCGGCTGGGGCCGCCGGCGCTGCTGCGGCAGGGGCGGTTGCACCGAAAGAAAACGCAGGAACCCCCAGTGTCTTCGTAGTCGCCGCCCCCGCCGCCGCCGCTGGAGCAGCGCCGCCAAACAAAGTCTTTGTCGGTGCAGCAGCAGCGGCACCCGCGCCGACGGCGGGCTTAGCGCCGAACGTAAACGTCGAAGGCGTAGCAGCGGCGGCGCCCGGTGCCTGGGCAGCAGCTGGGGGGGTCGTGCCGGCAGCGGGGGCCGGAGCGGCGACGCCGAACGTGAACTTTGCCGCCAGACCGGAGGCGGGAGCGGGAGCGGCGGCGGCAGTGAACGACGGAGCAGCCGCAGGGGCAGGAGCAGCAGCACCGAAGGTGAAGCCCGCCGTGGGAGCAGGAGCGGCCGCGGGGGTAGCCCCGTCAGTACCGGCGGCTGCCCCGATCGTCTTCGTGGCGGTGGTGGTGGTGGTGGTTGCCGGCGTCGAGGCCGTCGCAGCAGTCGCAGCAGCAGCAGCAGCAGCGGCTGGGGCGGCACCCCCGAACGCAAACGCAGCGGTAGGTGCCGCAGGGGCTGCTGCTGCCGCCGTCGACGCTGACCCAGCCGAGGACGAGCCCGTGGCCCCTCCGGCGGCGGAACCGAAAGAAAACGCGGGACCAGGGGCCGGGCTAGCGGCAGGCGCGGCGGCGGCGGCTGGCACGGTTGAAACGGAAGAAGGAGCCGTTTTCGCAGCAGCTGACGACACGCCGCTGCCACCTCCGCCGCCAAAGCTGAAAGCAGGTCCAGGAGAGGGCTTGGGGGCGGCGGCAGCAGTAGGAGCCGGACTGCCCGGCGCCGCCGCGGCCGCGGCGGGGGTTGATGGTCCAAACGAGAAGGTTACCCTGGGCTTGCTGGGGGTGGGCCTGGCGGGCGGATACGGGCGTGCCGGGGGGCGTCGGCGGCGTCGTTGGGGGAGAAACTGCGATGAGAACTAAATAGAGGAGAATTTTCAGCTTTAACCGCACGAGAGTATACCACGCGGAGGTGGGGGGACTGCTGCTACTGCTCCATGGTTTTGTTGCGGAGATGTGGGGCTGGGTACCGACACGGAACAGGGATGGTAAGCACTACTTGGCCGTCCGTAGGGGAGTACGAGCGTCGATTGAACAGCCTTAACCGGGGTAGCTCAATTTTTCGAACCATCGTAGCCTACTCGTCCCTCGGACCTCGCGAAAACGCTACATACACGCCAGCACATCACTACCAAAAAACACATGCTCACCGCGCTGAAGCAGGCGTGGCAGCAGCTGCCGTCGCGGCCGCCGCAGTAGTTGTGGCATCACTCGCAGTCTTGGCCGTCGCCGTTGCCGTCGCCGTTGCCGCCGCTCCAACCGCAGCGGCAGCAGTCCCAGGCATACCGGGGGAGGCCAAGCCCGCCGCCTCGAGCCCTGCGCGCACCGTGTACAGGGTCCTGCCCCCGCTGCAGGAAGGGGGGGCAGAGAGAGAGAAGAGATAGGGGAGGGGGACATGGGCGAAAACGATCCAGCTTAGAGGGCGGGCGAGGGTGAATGACAAGCCAAGCGTAGCAGTAATACTCTAGAAAGACATGACACACATCAAAATGCCACAGAGGTGTGCGGTGCCATTTGAAAGAAGTTACACAACGGCGGGGGTCGAGGCAAGGCAGACATGACCCCCGAAGCTCTCGGATCGCTTGTACACCCCCCAAATACCGGACGCGCACGTTGCGCACACCTACGCCTTCTTCAGGGTTATGCCGTCGCCATCGCAGGGGAAGCGTGAGCGCGGCAAACGTCACAACGCTGTCCTGACACGATGGGAATTCACAAACGAGTCATCTTCCTCGTGCATCACGGGTGATTCACACGGACTGGATTGAATGCTGGGTTTTTGAATGTTTCATGAGAGATTCCTTCGCGCTCCCTGCTGGGCATGTGACAGCAGCGAAACTTGCCTCTTTCGGGTGGGATCAGCTGGGAAAACATTGAGCACCCATTAGGTGTCAGGTCGAAAACCAAAAGCAGCAGCAGCAGCAGCAGCAACGACAGAAACCAACTTAAGCACGGGGAGCAAAGCACCGACTCGAGATCAACTCACGGAAGAACAGCGGGAGGGTTCTTGAAGCTGGGCGTGCCAAAGTTTCTCGGTCTCCTGCACATGTCGCACACCTTCAGGTCCATGTCGTAGACCCTGACGTAGCAGCCTTGGCACGTCCATCCCTTATTGAGAGGACCACAAAAACAACGGGGGAAAAACAAAACAAAACAAAAAATTACGAAATCGTGCGGACAGCGGGGAGCAAAGGTTAGACGTCGCAAAAAATAGAAAAGGAAGCGCACCCGCCGACACCGGCAGAGAGGAACGCGTCTGCAGCGGAAGAAGCGAAAAAACGCAGAAATGACGGTTACAGAAGTGATGCTTGCGCTTTGCACTGCCTATATTGAGTGCCAGCCAGCCAGCCAGCCAGCCAGCCAGCGCCCCCGATACAAGCAACACGAGATCGTGGAGCAAGGGAGCACCCGCAACCAGCGGTGGGGATACGGGAAAAATAGAATAATAGCCATTCCGCAAAAAAACGAAAAACCCCACTCCTGTGTGCTGTACACGGCAAATCACAGCGAAGGCGCCACCGCTGCCTTTTTTCAGGAAGGTGTTGTTTCAACCGGGGAGCAACACCGCTGCCACCACCATCATCGTCACAAACCAACCGCAGAAAATCTCCCGACACAGTCAAAAACTGGGAAACTACCCACACACAAAAACAAAGAAAGTCTCTTTCTAACCTTGGAAGCCGATCTAACGGGGGTGCCACCAAGCTTGGCACCGCCTCCCCCGCCTCCGCCTCCTCCAAGAGCCAGAGCCACCGGTCGCACTGACGTCGGCAGGCCGCCGCTGGGGTCGATCCTCCCGCCCGTGCCGCCGTGCAAGTAGGGGGACCGCGCGTGTCGCCCTCGGCGCCGCGCCTGCAGCCTCCTCTCCTCTTCCTCTTCCTTCTCCTTCTCCTTTTCCGCCGCTAGAGTGCCTTCTTTCTCTCCGCTCCGGCTGCCGCCGCCGCCGTCGGCTCGCCCTCGGCTGGTTGCTGCTGCTGCTCCAGCCTTGTCGGCCTTGTCGGCCCCGCCCTTTCCCCTGGTGGCGGGCGAGGCGGCCGGGCCGGCAGCAACGGGAGAAGAAGAAGCATTGGCGACTCTTTGCCGAGATTCGGCCGGGGACGGGCCGTTCTTGCCGCCACCGCCGCCGCCGGCCGTGGGGGTGCCGCTCGATGATTGGGCAAGCCCCCCGCCCTCGCTGCTCGTCCGCGCGCGCTTGGGGCGCGGCTGCGTGATGGCGAGGTCGTCGGAAGAGTCGGAACCTCCGGCATCATCAGCCTTGTCCTTATCCGCGCCCGTACTGGTGCCGTTCTTGCCGTTCTCGCCGCCCGCCGCGTCCTTCGGCACCGCTGCCGACGCCCCCGCGAGGTCTTCTCCCCTTTGCGGCCCCGACCCTTGGTCGTCGCTAGTCTTCCGCTTGCGCGATCCCGGCGCGGCCTTTGGGGAAGACTCCTCGGCGGGAGCGGGAGCGGCATCCTTGCCCACCCCCGACCCTTTCTCGCCCGAAACCGCCGCAGCCGCCGCCGCCACCGCCACCGCCTGGTGCTGCCTCGTCGAACTCCCGCCCCCGTTGCTCGCGACCACGGGTGCGTCGTCGCCGCCGCCGCCGCCGCCGCCGCCGCCGTAGCTCTTGCCGCCGCGTACCGGGACCGCGGGAGT